TGCCTCACAAAGAGTGGGCCAAGTCGGGAGACGCACACTTCTTTTGCCCCCACAGCGGTCATTTCGTGACAGTTAACAAATAAATAAATAAATAAATAAATAAAATGAAAATAAGAAGAAAACAGATTGATAGAAACAGTGGGCACGCACACGAGTAGAAAATATGTCTGCACTATGCAGACATGCTCAGCAGACGCCGGCTTTGCACTAATCTATCGAGAAAAAAAATCTTTCCTTCTTCAACAAAAATTCACGAAACCATCCTGATTTAAGATGGAATTCGTTGCATTGTCGAGTGATTAATTTCATATCAACATTTATATGGACTACTCGCGACGTCCACTGACAGATCTCAGGATGGCAACTGGAATCCAGCTGTACCTGCAGGCTAAGGTGCACTGCTCGACTATTCAGCCACCAATTGTAAATGTCGTCAACAGTATATGACAGCCCATTTATTCAATTGTCGGATGCGTTGTAGGTGGCTCCTACATGGGCCGCCCACAATTTCTCCATCTCGCACCTCATTTGCACATAACGTATAGGGCACCGCGTGCGACAAAGGAGAGAAAATGATATAACTAGTAGACAGAGCGCAGTGGCGAACTCGGCGTAGCGTGTCCATGAATCACCAAATATATATACACTGCCAAAGCGTCAGACCCGCACACTGCCTTACTGTTGGCAAAGCTCGCAGAAAACTTTGCGGCGGCAAGATTGTCAAAAAGAAGTGCTTCAGCCTCGTATGCAGCGCATGCCCAAGTTGATGGTCATATATGCAGAGATGGCACGGACACTCGGAGAGTGTGGGGGCGAACACTGGGTGCTATAGAGGCCGGTCTCCCTCACTGCGAGCTTTGGACACACTCAAGTCCGTTTGTCCCCTGTCGCATGCACGCTGGTACGCGCGCAACAGTCTGCGGCTCTCTGAGAGAGCTCGCCTAATTAAATTTAGCGCCAAAAATAAAAAAAAGCGCGCTTTATTCGTAATGCGCGTTTGCCGCCACAGGCACGCTACTCGCGCGCGTGCGCACAGCATACATTGTTGGGCCTCGCCTCGCCAGAACCGAAATACTCGCTGTCAACGTGCACTTATCTCGCGCCCGCTTGGCTAACTCCCCGCCTTTTCCACAAATGCTACCTTATACGTTCCCCCCATTTTGCGCAACGGGTTTGCGTTTCTCGTCTACGGCGGCACTGTGAATCCTTTGGGAGACGCCCTGCAGGCGTGCGTGGGACGCTTTCGGAGCGATTCGCGAAGGCGCGAGCGTGGCAGCTCAGTTGTTGCGCTCTGGAGACAAGGGAGCGTGTGTACACTGAGAAAGGTTCAGCCGCGTTTTAGAGAAAAACAGAAACGGAAGAGAGTTCGAGTGACTTCGTTTGCTCGTCTGTTCTTACGTACACGTCACTCGAGCGAGAACGTCACGTGTGAAAAAAACAAAAACAAGAATTAATGAAGCCGCGTGTTTGTGAACACTACAGTGAGCAGTAAGCGAATTTTCGCGATATCTTTTAATGCTAGTGGCAAGAGCACCAAGTGAGATTCTTTTTTCCCTTCTAAGCGTTTGTGGTTAAACACTAACTTTCTGTATTCTAAATACTCATGAAAAGTCTTCCACATAATAGAAATCTATCGTTCTGGTATAAGTTAAGGAAGGAATGAAGGAAGGAAGTAACAAAAGAGAGAAGGCAAAGAGGTACGTTAACCAGAAAGAAATCCGGTTGGCTACCTTACACTGGGGGATTAGGGAAGGGGACAGCTACCCAACACTGGGGGATTAGGGAAGAGGACAAGAAAGATGAGAAAGAGGGAAAAGAGAGAAAAAAGGAGAGACTGACAGTAATTTCACTGCAGCGTGTAGAACTCCACCGAATGTTAGAGGCGTTCGCACAAACCCGTCCTTCTCAAGAAACGCAGCAGGGTTTTCACTGCCTTGTGGGCTGTCGAGGGATGTGGACGTCGCTGTAATAGCACCTGCACAGAAAGAGGCCGATCATCCAGCCGCCGCATTGCGTTGGCAAGTACTTGTCTGTCTGAGGCAAATCGAAGACAGTGGCACGGCAGGTGTTCGATATTTTCATCGGTGCCGCAGACATCGCGTGCCGCACTGTCAGTCATTCCGATTAACGTGGTATAAGCTTTCGTGAAGGCAACTCCCAGCCAAAGTCGAAGAGTTATGTGAGATGTATATGGTACGGGAGGTTAACCTCACCCATAGTATAAGGGACGAATAATTGTAGGAATAATTAAAATAATTATTCTTGTTAGTTAAAAGATTGTGAGCAGCTCGCATCGTTGCGATAGCTGGCAGCACATATCTCAGTCAAATAAAAGTTTATCCAATAAAAAAAATAAAAGTTTATCCAATCTCAGTCACACGCTTTTTCCCCATATCATGCCACCCACGAGACCCTCTTTAGAAACTCGCGAAAAGCAACGTTAAACCAGAGAATAGACAAGAGCATATACGAACGCCGATGTGTTGGTGCCCCTGCCAAACCTATAATCAAGGGTGGGGCCGCCTCGAAAATTTTTACGCGATAGCTTTGAAGATCACGTTTCGCATACATTTTGTCGTCGCCGCCTGTGGTTGTGAGCGGAAAAATCAGCTTCACCCATGAGCTATAATTCGAGGTAGATGCAAATAAAGTAATAATAAAACAATCCCCAGTTAACGTGAAAACAGGAACACGAACTTTTGACCCTTCGCTCCGTGGCGCGATCCGTGTAGCCACTTGGCCACCACGTATAGCACGCTAATGGGGAGCTATTTAGATACACCATCAACCCTTGGTACAACGCACACCTCGGAGGGGCTTTAGCGCCTTTATTATAACCAGCGAGATGGCGCAAGAGGTCCACGGGCTTGCTTTCAGTGGCGTTGCGTACATGGATATATAGGAGCCAGAGGGCGTCCACACTTTGGCTTTCCTTGCAGCACGCTTGCGATATTCACCAAAAATCGAAGTCAGGCTGGCGATTGGGAAGGCGATACGAACGCGGTTCGTTGATGCTATCCAGTTCAATGTTAATCAACATTTTGCTTAGAAAAAATTGCGGGAATAAAATGCCAGGATAAGAGCAAACATCTACTGTGTTAACAGCCGTACGAGACTCCTGTGCCACTTTTTTGTTGGCGTCAATTATCCGGAGAGCAGACATATGAATACATCCAGACATCTATGTTCCGGTAATAAGAAAACAAAGCAGTTCATAACATCAGAATTTCAGACTTACATAAAAAGAAGTATACATTAAAAACATGCCGAAAACTGCGTACCAGGGGCGTTCTATACTCTAGAAAGTCAATCTCAAGCGTCCCTCCGAAATTGTTTTTTTTTTTCATAGTATTGCGTATACGTCTCGCAAGACGGTGCGTAAGTGAAAGCGGTAGTATTGGACGTACGTGCTAAGCATAAAATAGCGTATAAAACACAAAACAGTAATACAAAATTTACAAAGTGTTGCAAAAAAGAACGTATTGAGGCAGCAGCCATCTTATTGCTTCGAAGCTGCGAGTATCGGATGCCTTCGGTTCTCGCGCCAGTGGGGTGGTCCCCTCTGAGCGTTTGTTATTCAAGATTCCAATTTACCTGGCTGCATACTGTTCGCATTTGAGATGGCATTCACTCAAACAAGTGTCACTGCTCGCTGATCACACGCATCCATTCGGGAAAAAGGATTGACACTTGTGCTGTATCTCTAGCTCATTGTAAATGTATCAAGTTCAATGCACAAGTTGATGCCTCCGTTTATCAACCAACGTCTCTACAAGAGCATACCAAGTTTTGTTTTTTACGAGTGACCATTTATTTCTGGCCTGTCGCGTCGCTGGAAAGTTTGCATTTCTACGGTTAGAAAAATTGTGACTACTTATGGTGTACTGGATATACCTCGCTACTGTATTGGTCATCCAAGTGAGTACAACGAGATCTATAGAAAGAGCGCTTTTCCTGCTATCACTGTGAATGTTCTGCGTGTGCCATGCAGGCGTGACGTTTTCACGTATATTATACACCGCAGCAACGCCTCCCTCCGATACATTATTCTCATGCACATATCCGTTTATAAGCAGGCTATGCAATAATAATGAATTTATATTTCATCCCTTTCTATAGGGATGAAAAAAAAATCTGTAAACAGGAGTTCTGTGTTCGACACGACGTTTCGACAGGTGTACTTCGTCTTGCCCTTCCTGCCGTTTCTTTAATATCCCTGTCTGGCTGCGTTTACGTCAAATTCACCGCTGAATATCCGCGGAATGTTACATGAAAAAACAAATCTTAGCGCAACTTAGAAGTGTGCCAGCTTGGGCTGGTTGGCATGGCATGACGTTAGTTATAGCGCGAGAACAAAACGACGACACAGAGACAAGAAGTACACGAAGGACACGAGCGCTCGTGTCCTTCGTGTCCTTCTTGTGTCTGTGTCGTCGTTTTGTTCTCGCGCTATAACTATCGTCCATAGCGCAACCTCGTGCTGTTTGCGAACGGCGATATATGGTATAAGTGGTGGATCAGAAGGCTACCTTGTTTACTCGAATGCCATCAGCACTATTATCATTGGCTAATCCAGGTTATTTGGTTAGTAACTTTGGTTTGACAAATATTTTTGGTTGGGCGAGTTGGCGTACGTTCGCAATTGGATCTAAGGTGCGAAAATAGTAAAAAACACAAAGAGAAAAAAAAGGCGCTTTGTCTCGTGTCCTCTCTCGTGCTTGTGTCTATTTTCACCCCTTAAATTCCAATAGTTAATTTAGGCTGCTGTTGGCTTCCCGCGGTTATACCAGCAAAACTTATCCCCGTTTGATATCGACACGACAATGCTCTCGCATATACATCGGCAACACCCAAGTGTATTCCATCCGCATTTTTTTTCTTTACTGTGTAGCCTGCTTTTCGGTGGCCGATATATTCCCACGATACAGTCGTTTTCTACGAACATCACCAGCAACAACGAATACGGACTTAGAGCTGTTTGCTCCGTTCGTTTCATTCAGGTGTGGTTCCAAAACCGGAGAGCCAAGTTCCGCAAGCAGGAGAGGCTGAACCAGCAGAAGCAGTCGGCGTCCTCCTCGAGCTCGGGCTCGGACGCCGGTCTCACCACGTCACCCATCAGCACCACGGCAGACTCGACGACGCACACCTCCAGTGCCAAGGACTCCAAGGACGTCAAGGTTATGCTGCAGTCGCAAGACGTCAAGCACCTCAACGGTAAGCCGAGAGGTTGAACAAACTAGATTCCCGATGGATTCTTAAGTATCAGAACTAAGAGATAGTCGAACGCCAAATTGTAAGTACTGCAGCATTTTTTTTTGTTGGTCGTCACCTGAATGCGGCTGCCGTGATGAAGAATCTAAACCCTCTGTGGAGCTACACGTACATACACACAAACACGCACACATACACACAAACGCACACACATACGTGCACTTAAACACACTGTCTCTGTGTGTGTGTGCGTGCGTGTACGCGCGCGCGCGCGCGCGCGCGCGTGTGTGTGTGTGTGTGTGTGTGTGTGTGTGGTGTGTGTGTGTGTGTGTGTGTGTGTGTGTGTGTGTGTGGTTTATATGTGCAGCGCAGTTATTCTCATGTCTCATGGTCACGCCGTGGTCAATATATATAAAACATAGCAGACAACGCTCACACCTAGCGCAAAATAAACGAAGCCTAAGATGATATAAACTAGAGAAATAACAAAAAAGTTAAATTTCATAATTCATCAAAATGGCAAAACAAGCTTCTTAAAAATGTGGCTCATGATACCCATTTCCGACAAGAGGGCGCCACACCTCGGCAAGTACGCAATTTCCAAGGAAATCGCTGCAGGTTGACTCATGGCTACGCACTTCCTCAGGTATTGTGGCAGGGGAGTCGCATTAAATGTGAGATTTAGAACTACAGCAAGACCCACACAAGGACGACATTAGCGCAGGCTTTTTTGAGTGAGCGTGTCACGTGTTGTTTTTTTCACGACGAAGGGTTTTCCTGTTTCCACTAATATCGAACAACGCAGTCTAGTTTAAGGTCACGTCTTTTTTTTCCCATCTCACTATATATACATTTTTATCCCTTTATCCCCTTCCCTCAGCGTAGGATAGCAAACCAGACTTTCAGCTCATTGACCTTCCTGCTTTTCCTTCCATATCTTACTACTCCTACAACAGCTTCCCAAATTGGTCAATAGAAGCTTCGCTTGAAAAGGCGAACAATTCGCTGTAGTCCGTACTCCTACATGTGACAAGAGTAAGCTGCCTTGGTATTGAAGTTTGTTCACGAAAACTCAAAATATTTTGAGAACTGTAAATTCTTCTATGTGAGAGTGGTAAGCTACACCGTCAAGACATCTCTATTTAGAGAAATTTATTCTCACGGACAGTGAAGATCAATTACAATCCAACAGAACATCGCGACAGAACACAACATCCACAGACACACCAAAAGTTGTTACAAAACGATATGTTTATAAATGCATGCACGGAACACAACATACACAGATACTCCGTGAGACAAACAACTGCCAGACAACCGCCAAATGGTGTGCAGTAACGCCACCCGTCGAGCTCAGATATATTGTTAGATGTGTATATTCGTGTTCCTAGTTTTAGTACCGTTAACAAGCCATAAATGTTACTTTCGTTTCGAAAATGCAGTTTCTATTTGATTGGTTCTCACCACTTTTGGTTTTTTTTTTTCCTGACATGAACGTATAGCAGATTCTTCTTTTAATGGGCACATACTGCATGGTAGAGTGTACTGCAATGATTGTAACAGTAAGATTAGTTTAAATGTATGAAAATAAATTCATGTGGGAAGAAAAATAGACGCTGCTACTTTCATAAAATAAAAAAAACGCACAAGATCCACTGAATGCTGCGGAGTCCATAAATTCCTTTTATTAGGAAGCAGCTCAGCTGTTTCTTCGATTTGTCTGTTATGTCTCACGCAAAAAAAAAAAACCTAAGTATGCTTTCACGGGGCAAGGGTGGCAGTGTTTTGTGCGTTTTTTTTTTTCCATGGCGCGTCGGAGCGTCCAAACTAGACGCACAGACGATGAACCGCCAGAACCACGGCGTCAGCGTCCTTCCTGCTGTTCTTGCGAAAGCGCATGTTCTTTTAGCGAGCTGCAGCGTGCATGCATCTCCGAAAGCGGTGACGTCATGACTCCCGGAAAAATGGCGACATCACCTCCATCCCCGGCTCAAACCATCCGCCTGCGAAGCTTCGTCCAGCACTGCCCGACGCTGTGCCTCGTCTGTTTCCATTAGTGTCGCGCGAGAGACGCGAAAGAGAAAAAAGTATCAAAGGGAAAACGAAGAGCTGTGCAACGCGGGTTCAGTGGAGGAACAGAGGCCCGGGCTTAGCAAGCTGAAGCAGGCTGTACGAAGGGACGAAAGCTCATTCGAGAAAGCAGAGAGGAAAGCTGGCCGAGGGAGTGAGGGCGGTGGGAAGAAAGAGAAATGGATGCTTGCGAGGGAAAGCACTGAGAAAGGGAGGCGGGAAGAGAACCTCGCGGCGTCCATCTTGAGCTGGCCTTCTTTATGTCCAGTGGCCACCGAGCGCCTAATGGCCAAGTTGCGTCGTCTGTCTCCAGGCATGGCGTCTGCTGCGCTAGGGATTTCACTCCCACTTCTCTCTTTCTCTCGTCGGTTCTCGAGGGACGCGAGAGTAGGCACTTCTGAGGAAGTACCACACCGAAGGCGATAGCGTTATGCGCGCGGCGCTCTCGTGGTGACGCATCTGATCTTGTGATTAGCGTTCGCGCGAAGCCGTTCTGCATGCGCTCTCTTGGACAGAAGTGTTTGATGTCGTGTTCCTGCGAGCAGACGCGGGTTACCTACTCCACGCCGACTAATGAGGTGTCCTTTTTGAGAAAAGAGAAAGCGAAGTCTGTGCCCGTGCTTGCGCATTTGGTTACTTACTGCCTAAATTGTATTGAGCTTGTCCGTGAAAAAAAAAATATTCACTTTTTCATTCTATCACCATCATTATTTTTCATCATCACCTTCATCGCCACGTTCGAAACAACCAATACGCGTACTTTAAAAAATAACAAGAAACGTAGAAAGATTGAGTATGTTAGTAGAAGTATAGCAGCAATTTTCACCGGTAATAGCGCACGTTTTCAACAACTTTTTCACTTAAGGCCCCAAAAAGAAGATCCTTAAAAGTATAAAGTGAAAGAAAAATAGAATATTGAAGCAGAAGGGGTGGAAAAAAATAAAAAACAAAAACACGCATCGTGTTTCCTTTGTTGCTTTTACGTTTGGCTTCGCAGCAAAATGAATTGCCCTTCCCCCCCCCCCCCCCCAAAAGAATTGCCCTCCCCCCTCCCCAAAAAACAAGCTTTACAAAAAAATGATTGTGAGAGAAGAAATCGAAATGCAATTTGTAAATAAAAGTCACAGTTCCGCCGCAAGAGCAAAGTAATGAATGCGATAGCAATAACTTGCAATGTAACGCTGAGAACGGCAAGCAGATCGAAACGTGCAGCGCCCGGCTCACGCACAAATGACGCATGAAAACAACATACACAGGACAAGAGCGAACTAACAACGCCTACAGCTCGACACTTGACGCGCTATTTAAACAAAAACGACGCACTAAACGTAATCACAATTACAGATGAGTGCAAACTAACAAGTGTCCTAGGTGTTATACTTCGCTGTGTATGAAAAGCGCGCTTTTTTCGGAAACGGGGCCTGTGCAGCGGAGCGGAGTGACGTTTATAGGCCCGGCGACTAACGAAATCGTTCCGGTGAAAGCCTAAGGCACACTATTCTACCCACCGGAGGATAAGCGGACGCGCACAATCACCTACCACCCCCCCCCCCCCCCCCCAATTCCTGGGGCAAAGTACACCTGGTAGATAAGCGCGCATCGGTGCATCGTGACGAGATAAGCGCGCTGAGCTTGGGCGGCTTTTTTCATATATATATATATATATATATATATATATAAGGGATTATAGGAAGTATCACGCAGGCTCTGATAGTATAGAAAAAGGAGTAATTCACACACAACGAACGTTTCAGCACAGTTTAGTCCGACGTTTCGACCGTGGGACCGGCCTTCGTCTGGGAAGGCCGGTCCCTTCGTGGGACCGGCCTTCCCAGACGAAGGCCGGTCCCACGGTCGAAACGTCGGACTAAACTGTGCTGAAACGTTCGTTGTGTGTGAATTACTCCTTTTTCTATATATATATATATATATATATATATATATATATATATATATATATATATATAGTGAATGACGGTGTGTTGACGACGACAGAAAACCAGCCGAGACTGTCCATATAATTGCTCTCGCAATAAAAAAGTTTCATTTGAACGCTTTCGTAGTGCTGCAGGAGCTAAAGTGAATTTTAAGGACGCAAATGGAAAGCACTGGACCGTGAAAGAAAATTGAAAAAAAAAATGCTGGCCCCGTATCTGCATGTTTCACTGCAAATGTCGTCGAAAGACGATAGTCTTGCGTCTGAAGAAAGTGAACCAAACGTTTATTTGATGTACTGCGCGAGAAAATTGGTGAATTGTATTCTGGAGGCGCTGCGTTAGAGAGTCTTGATCCGTGCAGCGAAGGTGAACGAGCGCATCGAGGCACGTTAGACACGAGTGCTATCCGGCAGTTATCTTCGAAAACGAAGGAAGACGGGTGCGCAGCCCGTCTCGGAGGCGATAAGTTTTGAAACGCAAAGCGACGGACAGGTGACGTCACCATGTAGTCTTTGCAAAGCATTGGAAACACTTGCCTTTTTGAGCATCGCGTTGCATTGACAGCGCAGCGTGATAAGCGCTATGGTCCTTAGAGATACTTATGTATGCCTTCTCTAGTATAAAGGCACACATACAGAACAATGACGTGTTGTTATGGTGCCTCAGGTATGCGCAATAATTTTTTAAATTGAATGTTGCACAAATATGAACGCTTAAACTTGAGCAATATTGGTGGGCGCTGCGGATGGGGTTGGTCGTTTGAGGTATCGTCAGGTGCTATTTGGGGTATTGTTATGGCAGACAAACAGAAAAATGTACAGACGGACGGACAGACAGACGACCACAATTTTCGCGTTGAAGGATCCACAGAGCTGAACGGATGGCTCGCGCCAGTGGGGCCCTGGAATAGGGCACCACCCCGCCGGACAGATTTCGCTCTTCACCCTGTATATTCTTCGGGGCGCTGGAGTTCTAGCCTGTCTGGATTATGTACATAATAAAGTTTTCTACTACTACTACTACTACTACTACTACTACTACTACTACTACAAGAAAGACTATCGTCTTTAAAGAAGATTGATTGATTGATATGTGAGGTTTAACGTCCCAAAACCACCATATGATTATGAGTGGCGCCGTAGTGGAAGGCTCCGGAAATTTCGACCACCTCGGGTTATTTAACGTGCACCCAAATCTGAGCACACGGGCCTACGACATTTCCACCTCCCTCAGAAATGCAGCCGCCGCAGCTGGGATTTAATCCCGCGACCTGCGCGTTAGCAGCCGAGTACCTGAGCCACTAGACCACCGCGGCGGGGCTTTTTAAAGAAGAATATAGAATATTCGTGCATTCCTTTTTAGTCATTTTTACGTGTGGCTTCGCTGCAAAGTGATTAACACAGCAGGAAAGAGTGCTTTACAAAACGAATGGAACGAGAACAGGAATTCAAATACGATTTAGTAGTCTCATTTTGAAGTTGGGGTTGTGTTTATGTAAATCATTGAAAAGCAATCGTGTTCGCCATTCTTTCACTCGGTAAGTACTTACTTGCCTGTATTTCTACAACAAAGTGTTTCTTCCTTCACACTTTCAACTAAAACGTTAACCAAATCGCCCACATGCTTACTCAATGAGATCACTCCCCATGTGAACATTTTCCGGAGTACATCTTCGTTATCTTGCTTTTACGCGTAATTAAGCTCACCAGATGATCACAGACCATCAATGAAATAGCGTTTTTAACGTCAAAGCTTAAAGAAAAATTCGGCAGATGCCACGTACCTTGGGAATTGATGTTATCGAAGCATGCGCATAGAAGGTGACTGTTTTAGATATTTCTTTAAGTGAGACGTTATAAGTAGCGTTTAATATCGGTAAAAATGCATGCACACACATACTTTGAGCAGCCGCACGAGTTTTATATTAGCAGTTGTTTAGAGCTGCGTAACCATGCCAATACCAACATGAATATTAGCAGCACCAGAAGCGGTAAGCTGATATGAAGAGCTGGGGTTTGCGCTGGTGCGCTCGAGGATGGTGGCCCTCAACACTGCTACACAAACAAATCAACTTCAGCGGATGGCGCCAAACTACAATTGACGGCAATTGACCTCGCAGTATATGATGCTCTAAAGAGGCCTCTTCCCCTACATGACATCAATGTGACGTGTTTTTCTTTTTTAACGCAGTTTCAAGAAATATTGTGACTCACTCTGTTTCACAGCATCTCATTGCCACGCAGACAACCTAGGTTCAATCCTCTCTCGGACCCAGAAATTACTAATACTTATTTCCTTTTCTCAATTTTTCTGACACGGACAAGGTGACTATTTTTCACTCACAACCAACGACGCCCACCCCGATGCCAACGCCGGTATTTCCGCGAAACAAGCTCTTTAACGCTATCGCGTTAAAACCATGAATGAACTGAACATAAAAATTACACAGACACGCACAAAGTGAATAAGGGTAGGCGAGGCCTCACCTGTAGCAATCTAAGAAATGTAATGCAAAAATAGGAAGGACGTGCCGCAATCGCTTGGAATATTCTAGGGCAGGTGCGTCTCTGAAACTGCGGTTGTTGTTCGAAATATCAAGTAGCGTTCTACAGTTTGTTGTATCGACTGCCGTGACTGAAACATTGACTATAGGACAGCTCAGTTGTAATGAATATGTACGAAACTTTCATATTTGTGTTATGGGGTCATACAACAACAGGGTGACATACAAGCGTAATTGCCGGACTAAAAGTCCGGCAACTTGATCACTGATGTTGAAATAGCATAAAACATCAGCATAGTGAACTTCGCGAAAATGTCGCGAGACCGGAGCTTGTTTTCAATTTTTTAATATATATATATATATATATATATATATATATATATATATATATATATATATATATATATATATATATATATATATATATATATATATATATATATATATATATATATGATGTGAAGAAAATGTGGCATTTGTGACATCTTCTTTTACGTTATGATGGCATGGTTTGACATAAATGTGTTTGTGTGTTTATCTTGTGTGTTAACTTCACCGTATACGTGTATTTAGTGCGTGCTACAATTTGAGTACGAAAGGTCGACAGAGCTTAAATGAGTGGTGCAGAATTTACTGAAGGATTACCCGGCCGATGCACAACAGACATCGTATTTGTCGTTGTCGTTGTTGTGTTTGTTGTCGTCGTCGTCGTCGTTGTTGTTGTCGTCGTCGTCGTCGTTGTCGTCGTCGTCGTCGTCGTCGTCGTCGTCGTCGTCGTCGTCGTCGTCGTCGTCGTCGTCGTCGTCGTCGTCGTTGTTGTTGTTGTTGTTGTTGTTGTTGTTGTTGTTGTTGTTGTTGTATAGAAGCAGTGCTTGTTCCTCGCTTACGAGTATACTCACCGTTCCACGCAGGCAAAGTCGTGGCCGCGGACAGCCCGTGCAGCCAGCAGCAGCCCCACATGTCGCCGCCCAAGTGGAGCTCGAGCCCGTGTGGCCAGCCTTCGTGCCTCGGCCCTTACCCTTACGGCTCCGGCCTGACGGGCGTCGACACCAAGCCCAGCTTGTCTCCGCAGATCTTCTGAAACTAGGTGGCGTGGCAGGATCGTGTGTGCGCGCCGCCACCGCCACCATCCCCGACTTTCACACAAACTTTGACAGTTGCCATCCGACACGACCAAATGGGATTGCAGGTAGATAACATCAAGTGGGATAGGACCTGGAGTGTTGTCGTCGCCTTCTTCTACTGCAAAGGAACAGCCGAATGATATGGGCCTACAGGTCAGGAGCGTTTGCAAGTAAACAGCCGCAACCGCGAAGTTGGGCAGACCCGGAAATCGGCGAGGGCCAAAGAAGGACCGACGTTCAAAGCTCAGTGGAGGTACCCTGGAAACTCCTTGGTAACTTTATGCGTCCCAAGCTTCGTGAGCGAACAAGCAAACGGCTGCGGCCGATTCACAATCTCGTAGATGAAAACACCGATTCAGTGCATTCTAATGAAACGTGTGTCAGACTGCGTGAGTGTGTACGTGTGAGACGTGTGTTAGTCACTGTGTGCTCCAGCGACAACGTCCTTTTGTCCATCCAGCGAGGAAAAAAGCAAAACAAAAACAGCCCTGAACTGCGTTTCAGCAGAGAAAGGTGTAGTTCGTTCATTTTGTGATCTTTCGCATTCGATTCGCTTCATTTCCGGCGTTGTTTTTTGCTTCACACGTGACTTTCGGTGCCAGGTGGAGACGAAAGAAAGAAAGTGTACTGTCCGACGCGGAGCAAGCGCCATCGCAAAAATCGCGGATGTGAAGAACGCTGTGTCTACGGCTTCAGTTATCTTGTGCTCTTCCGGCCGTTAAGAACTATCGCAAGAAACTTTTGTTTGTGTTTGCACATTTGGCAATATTATTTCTTATAGAGAAAGCGCCGACCTATTGTATCTTACGCTTCTGGTCTTACGTACAGAAGGAGCTCTGCGTCAGATATTCCTAGTCATGTTCTGCATTAAATATATTGCTTCTGAGAATTATTTATTACGACTTACATGGCGTGCTTCACAAAAATGTTTGTAAAATAACTATTCAATTTTGAGCTGTATAAGCCCAATCAAGGTGGGAAGTTTTTACGCTGGAATTATTTATTTCAACGTGACTATAAGAAGGGATTGTCAGATTGGTATCTTAAAGTGCGAAATCACGAAAAAAAAAATGCGTTCAATACGCAAGAATTGTCTGGAACTATCAAGCTGAAAAAGCCAACTTGTATCTTGCGAACAAAAAAAAAAACACGCAATTGCCATAGTGCTAAAGTAAATGAAAATGGAAGTAAAACGAGTTATGTCTAAGAAACATTGCAATCTTCCAGCATAAATTCTGTCAACGCAATTTCGCGAAGTAAATTTTGTTCTTAAGTGATTGGTGTGGTTATGAAACAACACTCCCGTAGCAAAAGTTGAACGTATGCGAATAAAATATGCTACGTACTCAAATTGTGCTGCTGTTTTCATGTACTTACTTTTCTGATAGATTTAGAAAGGAACGCTTCCATACCATTACGATAATATAGTAAGATGTTACAAAGAAATACCTGAAAACGACAGGAAGGAGATGGGAGCTTGCAATGAAAAAAAAAATCGTGAACAGTTGTGTACTCGACCCGATGATGATGAAAATATTTTATTATGCAAATCCAATGAAAACAGGGAGGGTCCCTATTCCAGGACTCTTATGGCAACCTCTGCAACAGCTCGGACCCGCAAAACGAGCGCCCGACAAACCTCGAGGGCGTCGTCGTGAAGTGTGCCTTCCCACTGCTCTCGGGCATGGGTGGACCGAAAGATTGGTGAAAGGGAAGGGAAGTAGGCAGCGGTGCACTCTATACGGTAACGTGAAAAGTTGTGGGAATAGCAGTGTGGCAGCTTGGGCTGGTTGGTATGGCACGGCGATAGTTATAGCGCGAGAACAAAACGACGACACAGAGACAAGAAGGACATGAGCGCTCGTGTCCTTCGTGTCCTTCCTGTCTCTGTGTCGTCGTTTTGTTCTCGCGCTATAACTATCGTCATGTGGGAATAGCACCACGTCCTGGACAGTCATCGGTATAACGAGTCGGGTATATTTTACGCACGAAGTGGCAGGTTCGGGAAAGTCTGCAGCCGGCGAAGTGCGACAGTCTCTCCCCGTGGGAAGGAGTCTGGTGGGAGTTTGTATTGCTGTCATCGCCGACACGAGCCGACATTTCTGCAAGTGAACTTGTCTTCCTGGAACGCCTCTTCCACTTGACTCGCAACTTGTCACGGTGGCCTCTCCACCGCAGACTTTGCGGTTGCCGTCTCCTCCTTCTTTGCTTGGATTGGAGGAGAGGGTACGAACTATACACACACCAACGCTAAGAAAATGCGCTCCAGTGTCGAAGAATACTTGTCCACTTGTCGAAACGTCCACGGGCCGCGGTATGCGGTAGTGCGCCACAGGTGTTTGACAGTTTATATCTACCGAGGAATGGTGAGAACAGTTATTGGTAATTCAGATGCAAGGGCGTTAATACAACCCGACATGAGATCGGCAACGTTTACCTGACGAGTGCAAAGACATGTTATGGTCTCACCAGGAATGAAACCCAGGCATTCTGTGTGGCAATCATGTATTCTACCTCACAGCCAAGCCAGGTGTCGGAACTCTTTTGGTAAAGAACCTTATGCAGGCTTAATGTTGGTGAAATGTCAAGTGCGTATGCAATGCTGCTCACATTATTCTTTATAAACACTACTTATTTACTCCAACGATACAGATGTGACGGCGCGTTGGCGTCAATTGCAGTAAGGCTTGATCCACTACTGTTGGCCGACGTAGCAATATACAGGGCTACTATCCTCGAAAGCACAAGCGCTACATTTCAACTTACCACTTGTGGTGTCCCCATGCTATACCCTTGGTATCGTTACGCAACTGTCAACAACTGGTTCCATAACACATGCATACGCAACTGTCCAACATACTTGTCTGTACGCATAATTGTACGTTCATTGTCATTTAGTAACGTCTCACTCAACAACAAAAAATTTACCGCAGCCACTTTCACTCGACATGCTTCGCATCACATCGATTCCCATGGCACGTTGAATTCGCCGAATTTTTTTTTTCATCACAGAAATATCTTACGACACTGAAATTCAGCCTACTCTTCAATGTATCGAAGAAAAAAAATGCCTAACGCAGGTCCTATACTGGACTATAGTGTATCCCAAGGTTGACGCGTGCGTTGTTTACCAACATTGGAGCAATAATGAACTGAGGAGTGGTTTCGCATACTGTGTGCTGAATCTACAATCACACTGAATATCTGTATACCCTGAAATGAGGAACAAAAGAGAAGCACAGAGAAGAAATAGTAATGTGTCTTAAGACGAACAGTTATTCTCCAACTCGGATATAGCAAGACACGGAAATGTGATTTACATCGACGATAGCTCGAATGAACGCACATTATTTGTTCCAGTCATCAAGGTCTGTTTTTTTTTAAATTCCCTTCTAGAGCATCCACTCTTATACATACTCCCTTCTAGAGCATCCACTCTTATTCCGCAACAAACTAAATAGTGACACTAGGAAGGCTAAACTTGCCTATTATGAAGCCACCTTCTCACGTATAAAATCAGAACCGGCAAAAATATGGAAACAAGTTATTTCCTTAACTGGGAGAACAGCAACGTCAAATACACCTAAACAAGTAAAAGTCAAAAATATCATTCTGGAGGGTAAGGAACTGGCAAACGCAATTAACCAATACTTTGTAAATGTGGCTGTTTATGATGAAGACTCAACACAATATGAAGATGAAACAAGTAGTTGCATGAACTCTCTCGTACTACACGAAGTATTACCCGAGGAAGTCTACCGATATATAAAAGAACTAAAGACAAACGTTGCGAGTGGTTATGATGACGTAAGGGTGGCTCCAGTTAAGGCTGTCGCATCTATACTTAGCCCCGTATTAGCATATCTGGTAAATTATTCCTTTCTTATTGGAATCTTTCCAACAAAACTTAAGGTGGCCAAAGTTACACCCATTCATAAAGGTGGCAACACTACTGAATTAACAAACTATCGTCCGATATCCGTATTACCTGTATTCTCAAAAATTTATGAAAAATGTATAAATACGCGCCTTATGAAATATCTTGAGAAGTACAATATCTTATCACCGCATCAATATGGTTTTCGCAAAAATAAAACCACGGAAGAGGCACTAATTGATGTAAAAAGCCGCATAATAGAAAATATTGAAAATAAAATGTTCACGTTAGGTGTCTTCCTTGACTTGCGTAAAGCGTTCGATTCTGTTGACCATAATATCTTACTGTTGAAATTAAGCCGCTATGGAATTCGTGGAATAGTCTCTGATTCATTTAAAAGCTATTTATCATCCAGACAACAATTTGTTAGCATAGACAGTAAAAAGTCAGACTATTTAAGCGTAAAGAAAGGAGTTCCGCAGGGGTCCATTTTAGGCCCCGTGCTTTTCCTTTTATATATAAATGATATTACAGAGGTTCAGTATACACCCGAAATTAAAATGTTCGCTGACGACACAAGTATATTCTTCACAGGCTCCACCATTCAGGAAGTAGAAGCTTCGACAAATGTATATCTCTCGAAACTTTCAGGCTGGCTAACAAAAAACAAACTAAAATTAAACACACAAAAAACAAAATTTATTATGTTCAGGCCCATTAACAAGCACATCAGTGATAATATAGTAATCTTGTTTGACAATCAGCGACTCGAACAAGTCAGCACACAAAAATTCCTTGGAGTCTGGTTTCATGAGCACTTAACATGGACACCGCACGTAAATAGTCTCTTGGTAGATCTAGCTCGTTCTGTAGGGTGCTTGAGTAAAATTGCTTTCCTCCTCCCTTCATGGTTATGTAAATCATTATATTATAGCATGTTTTACTCCAAGCTTCTATACGGAATGCTTGTATGGGGAACAACAACTAAGACCAATTACGATCGAATATTAATCTTGCAAAAGCGCGCGCTCCGTGTAATAGAAAAATATAAATATAAAGGTCACCCCAAGGACTTAGACACTCAGCCGCTTTTTCTTAAACATGGAATTCTATCTGCTAGGAAAGTATATAATCTTAAACTGATGTAACACATCCACAAACATAAACTACAGGATTCCTTTCCACGCACTGTATCAACAACATATGGCTTCAGAAATTCTACCCGCAAAACTAAGAAAACACGCACGAACTATGGCAAGCAGGCTATTGATTATAAGATCATACAATTGCTAAACCTTCACGAATCGAATATAGACTTTACTCTGAAAACTAAACAATTTAAATGTCATCATAAATCCTTTCTTCTTTTGACTGAAGACATAGTAGATCCATAGGCTTTTATATTTAGGAATACTTGTATACTGAGTTGATTTTTTTCTTACTGTGAACAATGATACTTAAACAGAATCGTTTGATACCAAAATTGTTTCCTGTTTATGTAAAACATATTCTGAATGTATATCATGTAGAAATAAGCTATGTAACTAAATAAGATATGTATAATGTCACTTATTTGTATATGTATGTTACTGATGTGTGAATATGTGTAATATGGCACTGATGCAGACTGTATCAGGAGGTCAAGACCTCGTCAGGCTATTTAGCCTTTAGTCTTTGCCTCCCGCAGGGAAGTTTTTGTATTTTTTTTTCTTTCCTGCAAATAAACTTTGAAACTTTGAAACATACCACCAGAGTTTATAGAGAGAGCACACGGCAGCATGGCGGGATAACACTGTCCGTTGCTGTGGATCGAGAATTATTATTATTATTATTATTATTATTATTATTATTATTATTATTATTATTATTATTATTATTATTATTATTATTATTATTATTCATAAGAAATACAAAGAAACGGGCCTGTCTAAGTCCCCAGGACTTGTGCGACTAATCCCGGCAGAGCCGGTTACAGCGACGTGGATACGAGGTAACAAAACTATTGTTGTTTCTTTACCAACGAACAGGCAAACGATTTGCACCATTACTTTTTTAGAGGCAGTGAATAACGAAGAGGAACAAATGAGGGAC